AATTTCATAAATATAAACATATATTTTTACCTTTTATTTATCAAATTTTAATATTTTGAGATATGCCAAATATCTTATCTATTTTGATATTGAGAAAAATATTTTATAAAAAATAGTAATCTTTAAAATAAGCTATAATAAAAAGAATAGATCACGTGTCCAAAATTGACACTTGAATCGAAAAATAGATTGTTGCTTTAATTACGTAACAAACAATTGGTCCAAAATTTATTTATAAAATATTTATTATATAATTTATGAAACATAGAATGAGATACATGGTATGAAGTACAAGGTAGAACCAGAACCTAAGAAGTGGTTATAACTAAAAAAGGAGGTTGTTGAGTTCTTAATTCACCACTAAATACAAAATTATATGAAAACATTTTAAATGATATTTTAATTATAAGAAAAATAAATCGATTAAATATAATTCTATTTTATTTTTATATGGTGATGATTTAATAAAAAATCATTTAAACATGTCTTATACGCAATAGTTTAAATAAATTATGATAAATCTAAAACCTCTTTAGAACCAGAATCATATACATTTCATTTTCGTTAATAATTTTATAATTAAGTATCACGAATAACAAAATGATATATTTTTTTATAATGCTGATTATTAATTTTAAACTATAATATTAAATATAGCTCCATATCACTAAGTTTACCATTCGGCACAAAATAATATTGAACACAGTATCACAATAAGTGAGACTGTATACGGTAGGTATTTTGCTCTTTTACGAGATAATTTCAATTTTATTTTAGAGGATAAAATTTAATTGGATAGCCTTATTATTAGACTACAAAATAAAGAAACCCGAGCATCTATGGGCGTTATTAAGGTGTAAGTAAAAATCATGCCTTTTACTATTTAAAAATAACACTGGAAGATGACAAATATAAAATTTAACACCTAAAATTTTTATTAAGAAAAATACAAATGATAAATATTTCAAAAAATTAACCTTTATAAGATGGGCATATAGAAAATGGATGATTTCTAGTAAAGATCTACAAAGCCCGGTCCACTAGAAATGCGAGCCCGGAATTTTTTTAAAAAAATTAAAACGGGCTTTAATCCTTAAAAAATTTTCTGGCAGGACGGGGTTGACCATTTATATATAAAAAATAAAACAGAGCATAGATAATTTCAGATTTTTTGTAAAATTTTTATATTTTTTTGAATAAGCTAATATTTTGATGGTAATTACATGTTTATTTCTTTGTATTTTAAGAGCTGTCTGACAAAATACTAAATCTATAAATTATAATAAATTAACAAGTTATTTACGCGATTTATAAAACTGTTGTTGGAGATATAGATAGCCATAGAGGAGAGATATAAGAGCCTTAATTGACATTAAAAAAAATTAGATACATATATGTATATATCAGAGACATTCAGGCTCGGCCCTAAGCCCTGGTACACGGGCGGGCAGTATTTTTTTTAATTATCTCTGCCGGGTCAAATAATTTAACTTGCCATTATTATCTATAAAAATTAAATGTATTTAAAAATTGTGCATCATAGAACAATATATCACACATTTACTTATCATATTTCCTTTTTTCATTTTTTTCGATTAGAAAATATTTTTAGTAAAATATTATTCAAATTAATTATTCAACTAATCATTATTTTAGGTAATATTCAATCAAATTAGATTCAACAAAAATACACTTAGTATTTAAAATAAATACACATTTCAACTTGTAGAAATTTTTTTATATCCAAACCGAATTTTTTTTCAAAGAAATCCGGGTGAAAATTTTTTTAAAAAATACAATTAGGGCTGGCCCGTGCAAATGTTACCTCTGCAAGCCCGATATTTATATTAAAAATGTGAAGGCAAGAAAATTAAAAAATTCGGGCTGTAAAATTTTAAGGAGCCGAGCTGGCTTTTTGAAAGTAACTTTTAAAAATTTTTTAACAGGCCAGATCAAACAATTTGTGGATCTTCAATTCGTAGCACACTTTATCCAATCTTTGAGTTTTTTTAACTATGTTTATAACTTTTGCCGCACATTATAAAATTCCAATTCTTATAATTATATATTTTATTCTTATGGAGATGCTGTGATTATTTCTATGCTTTTACCTTTTTGTCCAGATATAAAGGTTAGGCATAAAAATAACTGAGGATTAAGCTTATGTCGACACAAAGAAATTTTAGATCATTATATAACATTTCAATGTCACTATCAGCATTTGATAATGGGTTAGCAAATAAACTCATTTGATATAATTATTAAAATCTAAAAAAAAGAGATTGGAATAGTATAATGTGAGGCAAAAATTATAACTAGAAGATGTAAATTTCCCAGGAAAATTGGGGAAAAAAAGAAAAATTAAAAAATAACCACAATATACATTTTAATATTTCAATTTTTTTATTGAATAACTCTATTAAATTTGGGAAACTAAGAAAAAAAATAATTTAAAATACACTGTAAACATTTCATTTTTTTGATTATTTATTAATTACAAGAAGCATGTATCATAAATTAAATTTAAAATTCATGGGATGCTAGTGAAATAGCATCAGTATCTTCATGGGATGTAATTGAAATATCATAATTATCACTTTATATTGATAAAACGTTGAACTCTTTTGATGATATCCTGAACATGATGCTGTGATCCTTTAAATGTATGCTACGCCTGATTGATATTAATTTTTCGACTCTTACATTTTTTATTCTATTTTCCAAATGCTCTGACCAGACACTTTCTGACAATACACTTGAGGGTGGTATCGCATCTTACTGCCACTTGACAAAGGGGTTGATTTATACACAATCCTTTCCACCATATGAGTGGTTTGGTATGTATTGAGCTCTCCCATAAACTAGCACATTTATAGAAACCTTGTTTTGAATGATATTCTGCTAAATTACCCATAATTAATCCAATATCGCAATTTTGGCCTGAAATAATTATTAAATTTAAAGCTACTGTTAATTCGCAGTATGTTAATTTCACACTTTAATATTTAGGATCCAGAAGATTTGTTGCTTAAAGATATTTTCGGCAACAAAATTTCTTTCGTTTATTAATATGCATCTTAACACTTTTTAAATCATTTTCATTAAAAATAAAAGTTGATGAATTGAGTTTATCTTTTATATCCCAAAATATTTCCGGTACGTCAGATAATAGAACCGAATACTCCTAATTTTAATAGGGATCCTCCAATTATAATTTTGTAATAATAAATTCCAAAAAAGTAGTACAGACAGTAAATTTCCAATATAATACGCCTTCTTTGTTTGTCTATATATAAACTTGAAATATTTCTTACAAACCTTCCTTATTTTTCAAAACACTTTGCAAGATTATAATAAAACCTCTCCATCCTGTCGGACTTGGAATTTTTAAGGAAGATTTATACCCTTTAAATATTTGCCTTTCTTTAAAAGTTACCAATAGAATACCATTAAATTATATATATTTATTATTTTTTTGGTGTTTTGGTATCTTTTCAATAAAAGGTATTTGGCATAAATCTTTAATAAGCAGATTCAAGCCATGTGAACATCCAAAGCATTCAATTAAAGACTTACGAGGAAAAAAAATGATATAATAAATTAAATTATAAATCATAATTATTGCAATAAAATATTATATTTATATTACGGGAAAATATGAAATTTCCCTTACATCTCTAGTTATAACCATAGTAAAAAAACGCGAAGACTGGATAAAGTGTAAAAAATCTGAATGGACATTTAAGCTGGGTAAGAAATTACCTATTTTATGTGTACCCATTTGGAGAGATTCATTTTTTTAAAAAATATTTATAATATGTAAGTAAATTTTATATTTGCTATCTCTGCAAAAACTTCGTTACTAACAGTACCTTTTTTGAAGAAAACGAACGCCATTCGTTTCTTGTTTCAAAAGGTAACGAGTAACACTTAATTTTAAGTAATGGTAACAGGAAATGCTACTTTAACATTTTATTTTCTTTAAATTTTATAAATAATGTAAGCCGAGTTTTTAATTCAAATCAACCAAGTTCTTCATTTCTATTTTATTTTACATTTTGATTGTTAAATTTTATACAGCCAAGATTATTAATATAATTAATCAATGTATGTCAATTTATATTCTCTACTATTATAATTTATTCTATAAAGAATATGTCCATAATACTTATTATTTCAGATGATTTAACTCTGTCCTGACCCCAATATGTCAATATGAAATTTTTTTATAAATATAAAAAATTAAGGGCATTAAGTCTACACTTTGAAAGTGTAGATTGTGCCCGATTTCAAATATTTTAACCTCAAGTAACTCAAATCTAAAAAAACATATTAAGGTAAAAATATAAATTCAGAATAAATTCTAACGAGGACCTGAATGATGAATCTAATAAGTTTTTTTGAAAATAAAAATCATTCTTTAAATAATACCCCCCACCCCATTAAAATTTTTGCTTATTAAATATAATATTGGTCTTTTATCTAATCAAAATCTTGAAAATCAATTGTGGTTAAAAATAAATAAAAAATTATTACAAAAAGAGCTTGTCTTATTAAGATATTATTTTTGTATAATTTTATTATCTATGGGAAATAAATAAAAAGAAAATTTATATAAAACACTTAGTATTATTTTAAGTATAACGCGTTCTTTTTTCACAAGGTAACACATTTCTTTTAGAAGTAACATTTAGAGCATTGGCAAAAAGTAAGAAGCACGACTTTTACGTACATCTTAAGAGTGCCCATACTAAAAAAGGTAGGATGCCAGGTTTTTTAAAATTATATTCTAAAATAATAACAAAATTTTATCGTAAAAGAGCAAAACACCTGCAGTATAGCCCCTATCTCTACTTCATACTTTAATTGTAATATTTTAGAAATCAAGAATTCTAAACTAAGCAATGAAAAAATCTTATGGATCAAATTATAATATGTTCTACTTGATTGACGAAGTAATATCATATGATCGTAATAATTATATTTTAAAAGTTTTTTACGAATCTTTCTAGGACAGATGAAATCATGTTTTGCAATCCTGGAAGCATATCCATTCCTGGCGGAAAAGCTAAGTTAGAGGCTTGAGATGATACTAGAACATTCGTTGAATGAGGAGGTTGGCCTTGGTGAAAAAAAATAAATTTATGAATTTAAGGTTTATATTTTGTGTCAACATGAATAATAAAGTTCATTTTTAGGTATTATTTATTTTTGAGTATCGGCAAGGTTATTGTTAGATCAAATTTTTTATTTATTTGCTTTAAGTTTAACCGCATTCTTTTAAATTCACAAAAAATGTTACAACTTTAGATAATATTTTAGAGTTAAATTTCAATTCCACATAAAAAGGGTTTCAAAGGCGTATCTATCTTTAAAAAGATAAAATGAATGCTCATAATGAAGAATCTATTTTAAATAGTCTACCAAACTTTCACCTTTCTCCGGGAGTAAGTGCTGAAGGATTTACTTTTAGAAGTTGTTTAATGAAAAATAAATCAGATTTATTTTAAAATATTATATATAATAAAATATGAATATATCGAGATTATGAAGGGTCATGACCTTTTTAAAATGTGAATTAGAACATTATTTTCTTAAACAATGTTGGAATTCCTAACACTTAATTTTTGTTTTTTAACATTCAACTTCATATGGATTTAAGACAACCAAAATAATTCCCAAAATTTGAATAAAAATAAAATATTATCAAAATTTACTTTTAGTTGTCTGTCTTTCCTATATTCAATGAATATAAAAAATATTCTTTTTGTAAATGTGGTACTTAAAATTTGCATTTTTGAGAAAAATTATCTGATATGGAAGACAGAAAACATTTAATCTAAAAGGAGGACAGGTGACAACGCTATCCACAGAAGATGAACGAAGGTGTTATGAATTGTATATTTTTATACATCTAATCAGATTTGAATATAATATTTATGATATTATTTATTTTGTTGTCAGTGAACTGCAGAAGTCGAATTTGAAAAAGCCCGGGATTTTTTTTGCTAGGTTCAGATTATTATTATTTTGAGATTTTTAAGCTTCGCTGAGTATTTAAAATCATAGCTAAAATAAAAAGTGAAACAAGTAATAAATAAATTTGTTTTAAAGATTGATTCAACCAAAAGATTAGGAAGAAATATTCTAGGAATAAATATAAAGCATGTAAAAGAAATTAATATAGTAAAAAGGAGTGCGACTTCTGAATACATAAGAATAATATTAAAAACATAGAATAAACTAAAAGACATGTTTATACAATTACTATAGAGAATGGGTATTCTTATAAAATCACCAATCTATTAAATGAATAGTCAGTTGAAGAGTAGGATGTTGATAATTATGATATAATAAATGAAGGAGAAATTAAGCTGGAAAGATAAGGGATTTACTCACGAATATCATATTACATCAGGTGCGCAGCCTATACTCACCAGTCAGTTATTAACGATGCCTTGAAAAATAATGATGCTAAAACTATTATTGATATAGCCCGGGAAGTTGTAAAATTAACTAATTCCGATGATTATTAGAATATTAATATGAAATCAATGAAAATGTCAATGACAGTATTCATAACTCTATCGTCTTTAGTTTATGGAATGTTGATTAAGTTAGATTTTATAAGTAAACATTATGTCATATAGAAAGTGATATTACTAAAATATTTGCATTTTTAAAAATATCAACACTAAGACATCAGTCAGAACAAATGCGCCTGTCTGATTTTTATGGCATATGAGTTAATAAGCGATAGGATTTAGAAATAAACAAGTTTTTCATATGAAATATTGAAACACATGAAATTCGAGAGACCTATTTACAAAACAATGTACTATATATTTCTTTATATTTAGGCCCTCGCTATCAAGTTATGTTATGTAATGAGCTAAAATAGATGGCTAAAGATTATCTTAAGAATTATGAGATAAACATCACTCAATTATTTTAAAAATATTGTAGCCCATATCTTATTTGATAATTTGATTATGATATTAATAAAGATACAGCTTAAGATGTAAAAATGTACTTTTAGAAGGAGGAAGTAAAAAGAAGGAAGAACGAATCCCTATCATAGAAAAGTTTGTACATGTCAGAATAATAAAGGTGAAAATATTTTAAAATACTGGGAGAAAAATTCTTCTATATCCTGAATACATGATCTAGAAATGCTACGAGTACATACATTAATTAAATTTAGGTCAGCTTGAAAGTGTCTTTGGTTATAAAAATCTTAAAGAGAATATTATGGAACTTGTTATGATTGTTCGATTAAATAAAGCATTTATATTAAATATATATTAATTTAAAAATTTTTTGCCAGTAAATTATGAATACGAAATATATAGAGTAGAATAATTAAATGAACAAAAAAATTTATATTTTATTAATGAAGAGTCGGTATATTTCTTTATGACTCACATACCCTGAGAGATAGTTTTTTAAATTATTTACTCTTGAAATCTAACCCAGACCCGCTTTTTTGACGCAATCTGGATTTTAGTTAATAAAGAATTAATATATAACGTTCGTCACTAGTGTTGTTAAACAGCTCGATTCAGCCAACTAAAAATTAGGATTTTAGCGAAAATAATATTACGTAAGCCTCAAGATTTCGTTAATAGTTGTCCAAATCATTCAGCCATTTATGATCAAAATCTACAAGGTTGATATTTTTTGGAAGATATTGGGTTAGCCATTTTAAAAAAATCGAGCCGTTTGATAACACTAGTCGTCAAACTCTTGAAACCCTTTAAAAAATATAATTAACGTTAAATTTGTACCATATTTTTATAATAAAATAATATAAATTCGAAGAAGATCATTTTTACCGATACCAATGGCTCACATTCTAATTTTTTAAATTTTTATTTATTTCACTTCCCCTCTCTTTTTAATTGTTATTGGGAATGGGATAACACAAAAAAGTCTGTAAAATTAGTCATGTTTATATATATAATTTAGAGATTAATACTAGATTTAAAAAAAATCGACTGTATAAGTAAGTATTGTCAGACAGTGGCATGGGTGGCATTTGATAAATATATGTATAATATAAAACATTGTAAGATATTTTGATCAATATACCTAAATTGGCATTGGAAGTGGGACCAGTATTATTCAATGCAAAATTAGCCAAAGGAGGGTTTCTTCTAATAACTGTCCTTTGTATGGTGGCACCCACTGGTTGAATCCTAACATAATTAATGTTTCTTTCCTCATTTTCCTTTAGAATAAATTAATAAAAAAATGATCTTATTCATAGGAAAAAAAAACGTTCGAAAATCAGTCAATTTTACCCTCAGCCTCAACGTGACGAGGGAGTAAGGATATTCAAAATCCCTGTGGTCGGGGTTATAACATAATCACCATCTCCACGATAAAAAGTAAAATCCACCAAAAAAAGTTGCTGCGATGGGCATATCATTGTAAATTTTTTACAAAGATTGAAACCAAATATTGGAGATATATAATCCAAGGTACCTTGGGAACCTCCCCTACCAAGGATAAAAAGAACTTAGAAGAATTCAGTGGAACCACAATTGGTGATAACGAGACCTATAACGGCCATAAACGATATGACACTATGTGGAATTCGGCGTAGTAATATAATAAGGGTTGCCACATGGAATGCTAGGAACGACGAAGGGAAAAGTGGTGGACGAACTGAACAGAAGGAGTGTAGATGTATGTTGTGCACAAAAGAAAAGATATTGAAAGGTTATGGTATAAGAATGATTGGCAGAACAAATGAATGTAGTTTTTATGGCAAGGAAGTAATGATGGCAGAGCTGGAGTTGGTGTATTTGTTGCAATAAAACTAATGTACAAAATAATATAGGTAAAAAGACTAGGAATGATATTTTTTGGGATAGTCTACTGGAGGCAAGTGACGAAGAGAAAGAAAAGTAGATAGATAATGGGAGGTAAGTGTGCAAGAAAATTATACATGTTGGGATAGACTATTGTATGAATACTACGAAATGTTTTTTGCCTGGTGATTGAAAGGAGGGACATGTGGGAGTGAACAGTCAAAGAAATGAAGGAGCGCATGTGACAGCTCGAGGAATCCTGAAGGGTAATAATTCTCGATTTTGGCGAAGCTATCGAATGGTTTGACCCTGCTTAAGAAAGAATCAAAGAAGTTGGTGGAGTACAAATCGGTTACTGGTAAAAGTGCAGTGGATTATTAGTTAGTGAGGGTAGATGTGATCGATGTATAGTGAACAATGTTAAGGTGACATCGAGGGGGATTAATGTATTGAGCAGCAAAATCTAGTTGTAGGAGATTTTATTTTAGGTGTGAACAACACTTATAGAAATTTTGCGCCGAGGCTGAGGGTTTAAAAATTGAAGGAGTGTGATAAGAGAGTGAGGTTGTACCAAGTCTGAATTCAGGAATTAGTTAAAGTGGGGGGGGGGTGCAGATTGTCTAATATTGGAAGCAAGGTTATGGGACCAACAATTTTTCATGGTGAGGCAAGAGGCGACCCTCAGTGTTCAAGAGGCTGGGTTGCACAAGCAACAGGTGTAATGACAAGTGGGAAGCTATGGAATAGGTCTGGTTAAAGGCAACTGCGTATTTATACGGGACAAAAGGGCCGCCTAGACACAAGAAGGCATGGTGGTACCATTTAGAAGTAGAAAAAACTATATATAAGAAACAAAAATGTTACAAATATGCATGATAGTAAAATGGGAAGTGAGAAACTATGAAACAAAGTGAAATACCAAGAAATTAATATCATGCACAGAAAGATTTTTGCGAAAAGAGCTGGAATACGCGATAGGAAGAGGGATTATGTACTGGATTACAAGGCAGATGGTGAAAAAATAGATAGAATGAGGTAGGTATTAAAGTCTGAAAAATATGGAAGTAAAAACGGTTATTGATAGCAAAGGAATTAAGAATATTTGAAAGACTCATGTGCCAAAACTATTGAATGAAGAGAATGAATGGGATAATAAAGCTAAGAAAGAAAGCGTTGAAGATAAGACAAAGGGATAGCAGTAAGTTCAACAAAAGGGGTAACATCAATGAAGGTTATGACGACTTGGGATAAATGGCTTACGAATTAATTCAATTTAATAGTTAGACAATGAACTATTCTGGCGAAGAAGTGTAATTATCCCGGAATAAAATGGAACATGTGATTTTAAATAGTGGGTAAAGTATTAAACTCTTGGAGCATTACGAAATTAGGGACAGTGTTAGATAAACGAATAAGGGAACTAATGAAATTCGATGAACTGTAGTTTGGATTTATACCAGAGTAATTTTTGTGTAATGAGATAAATACAAAAAAAGTATCTAACGAAGGGGAAAAAAACTATATTATGCGTTTTGTAGGGTATTTGACAGGATGCAGCATGAGGTTATTATATGGACGTTGAAAAACAAGGTGAAGAAGAATAACTAGTTACGGCAGTGATAGCAATGTATGTGGAACAAACTAATGTCCAGATGGACGATGGATTGTGAATGTTTTAAAGGTAGGACTAGATCAAGGATCCGTTCCGAGCCTGTTATTATTTATCCTAGTATGGACAATCCTTGAATGAAAGATAGCTAAGAGAGCAAGGGGATTAAAAATAAATACAAAAAAACAGAGGTTGATAATTGGTGTTGGAACTTACAGAAGAAGAAATCTTGCACCTGGCCTTATGGGAAAGGAGTGACTAAAAATTCAGTTTAATGTGTCTTCTACAAAAAATTCATAATCTGATGTATTAGTGAGAAAGGTAGTTTAAATAGGTGGCTTGATATTTATATGTAGAATGTATGTGAAAGAAGTATATGATGATAACGTAGTTAAGGTTGGATTGGATTTTGAATGAATCAACTTTGAAGGAGAGAAAGTTTGTTATTAGATACATGCTAAGCACAGATGAACGTGTTGATTTTGCTGTTGTTGCAAGGGTCAAGATATACATGGAATAAGTTCCAAGAGATGTTTTCTATTATAAATAAAACAGTTTCTATGAAGCTAAAAAAGTTTACATAAGCTGTGCGAGGAGCTGTACAATCTATGATTTAGATGGATATGTAGGGCATCTCTGAGGGAGGGAATAGAAGCGATTGGGTGGTGATGGAGAAAAATGGGTCTTACAAATGGCGATGCCCAGGAACGTAAAAAATGGAGAAAGGTAATCAGGAGGGAAACTGGCTTACCTCGGTAAACGGTCATTAAACGAAGATGTTTATTAGAAAAGTATCCGAATGATAACAATAAATACAAATCTTTTTATTAAAATAAACCTGCAAATTGACGAAATGATGAGAATAGCAAGGCAGTAAGGGATCATTGTGATTAAACAAAATATTATTATTGTTGAAAGAAGGAAACAGAGATGAACTAGCTTCGTGCATGGGTCTAATATTTGGAATATAATTGGCTCTAGTGGCTGTTCTCCTTCTAGTACTACCCAATCTGGGGGCTTGATAAGTTAAAGCTGAAGTGGTTAGCCTGTTGATATTAGGCGAATTATTGTTGAGACTTAAAGGTATCCGTCTGGCGTTATCTTAAATAATACATTAGTTAGGCTGAATAAATAGTATAAAATACTTTGAGTGCCAGGTGCCAAAGTGTACGTCATTCCATTTGTTAGCGTAAAATTTTCGGGAAAAGAATTCGTGCTAGAACCAATGTTGGTATTGTTGCCAACAAAATTAAGGACTCTACGGTTGGATCTATTGCCTATTATAGATGAATAAATTTATTTAATACACGTCCCATTATATTTTTAAATTATTTTTTATGTTCATAATTACAAATATCACTTGGCTTCTTACCCATAGCGAAAAATATAATTATATAATACACTTAAATATATTAGTTATATTTTTAAATAATATAAAAAAATTCAATTTTTTTAAAATTTATAAATTTGTTATATTTTTAAATAATATAAAAAAATTCAATTTTTTTAAAATTTACCATATCATAATACAATCTAATTAATGGATATTATTGTTCATTGTAGATGTATATTTCAATAAACAATTATTTTTGTTGCACATTCATTTAAAATAAATAATGATAGATCAAGGTTTTGGATTTTTTAGTGTTATTAGATTTATTTTTTACTTGAGAATAATTATTATTAACAAAATTTCCAGTTTATAAACGCCCCTGTTTTTATTTTAAATTTGGCAAAAACAATAAAATACCTAATGATAAAGACCGTCTCAGAGGTTGATTACCACTAGTTTCCACCGAACTGTTGGTTATGTCATTGGGAATCATATTTGAAGTTGAACCGTTTAAATTTGTCATAATTGAAGATATGATTCCTTGCACTGCGCCAGCTACATTGTGAGACCATGATTGGTTAGTGGTGGGTGATTGAACTATATGAGGTAAGTTATGGTTTTGTTGAATTCCTATACAAGATAGAATAATTTGTTAGAAAATATATAAGAATACTGCCAATTTATAGTTGGAGACACGATCTATTCAACCATTGGGGAGGGGAATGCAGACGGGTATACCCCTAGTCCTAAAAGGACAGAACAATCAAAAACTGTCCCGTTCCAAAAAACGTCCATGAAGTACGATCCTTCATTGGACTCGTTACATACTACACAAAATTTATAACGCAAATGTCTATCATAGCAAAACTGCTATATGATCTATTACACCAAGGGGTAAATTTCAACTGGGACCAGACCACGTCGAACAGCTTCAACTATCAAGACTTTACTGCCCCAAATTTTATGCAATTACAATCTCGAAATCAACCGACCCCTATCTGTGATGCTTCCACTTATGGGATAGGAGCCGTTCTATCACATCTATGGGATATATAAATCGAGAAACAAATAGCCTATGCTTCTCGAACCTTATCCAAGTCCAAAATCAACTATACAAACGTGAAGAAAGAAGCCTTAACCATAGTTTTTGCCGTTAAGATCTAGGAAGACAATTTATCATAAACCGCTATTAGCCATGTATGGAAAGCAAATTTGGATCCTAACTATGACTTACGCAAGGTTGAAACGATGGGGAGTACGTTATCTTGGTTCAATTTCAACATCTATTACAAAACGGGAGCATCAAATATGAATGCGACGCACTGTCCCGACTATCGCTCCCCAAAATAGAACCAAAAGGATACCGAAAACCAAATTAAAGACCTACCCTTTACTTGAGACAAAATAGAATCCATAACCATGCAAGACCCAAAACTATTACAAATCAAAGAAAACATATCAAACGGCTGGCCCCCAAAGATAACAACCACCGAATTACAAAAATTTCGATAAAGAATGAATTGTTGATAGACGGAGAGATAATTGTCTGGGGAACCATTAATCATTCCTAAAACCTTACGACCTGCGATATTGCAAGAAATTCACTCAGTGTACACCCGGGAATTGTACGAAAAGAAACAGTTAGGAAGTATGTCTGGTGGCCCTAATTAATAAGGGATATCACAAAAATCAGCGAAACGTGCGACCATTGTAAACAAGTCAAGGAAAACTTCTCATTGATACTATTCTATAACTGGCAAGTGGCCCACATTGTTGGAGAAATTGTACATGTTGATCTCGCATGACTTTGTGACCTCTGTGAAATAACACATATTTGCATCCCAACATATTCCTCATAAAAGTAATGTAATAGCAGAGCGATTCGTACGAACTTTTAAAAAAGCCATAAAAGGATAATTCAAATGCAGCTGACCAACTTTCTAATAGCGAATAGAAACAGTACACAGCCTGCCACAAAACAAACACCAGTAATGTATCTATGACGCGAAATACGGCGTCCATTAGACATCCTCCAAGAGAAATCAGTATGCAGTCCCACCCACTCCCCAATTCTTGCCGACCTAAGCAAAGGTCCAAAAGTTCCCAATTCAAGATAAAAAAAAGAAATCATAATAGATGTTCAGGTATCCGTCGTTTAGTGGATACTACAAAAATAACGGCACCATCGCCGAGATATATGACCCCGTCGGGATTCTGAAAAGTCAGGAAAAATGAGAAGCACGGGAGGATTCCGCCATCAAGACCCCCGCAGACGATCCTCCGATCGTCCCAAGGCTGTCGAAGATCAAAATAAAAGGCCACCCGAACCCCACAACTCCATGCAAAGTTCTACGGAAGGCCAAAAGAATTCTCAGATCCCCGACCTTAGGGGCGAGCCGTAGCATCTCCCAACGAACAGAACCGATAAAGTATGAAGAGCAATCCGCAAGACAGTTTGGACCCCCTTTTGGGGTAGCAGAGCTTAAGGGGGAGGAGAGCTGTATTTTTAAAGAAACCAGATTTTTTTTGTAAAATTAAAATTATCCTAGGAATATAAATGCGCTATTACCCAGCGGTGCGACACATGCCTTTTTGGGGGGGGGTCCATATAGAGTAATAAAGGACCATGAATCCGCCTTAACCCAGCAGTGAGGTGTAGGCCTGGTCATTTTTTGTCTAATTGAATTAACTTAGGACTAAAATCCGCTCTAACCCAGTGGTGTGGCTTATGCCTTTCTTTTTTGATTGATATTTTGTTTGTCTAAGTAAATAACTGGACTAAACTCCACTTTAACCCAGCGGTGCGGTCAATGCAGTTCGTATATACATTTAAATTTAATGAGGACATAAATCTGCCCCTGAACCAGCGGTACAGCGAAGACCGTTTTTTTTACATAATTAAGGTAGGAATTAAATACGTTCTAATTCAGCGGTGCGGTGTATGTCGTTCTTTCTTTTTGTCTATTTAATAAAATTTATTTAGGCCTTGTGGAATAGTTAGAGCCACGATCGTTAGCTGTTCAACCATCGGGGAGGGGGGGGGGTAGACGGCGTTCGATGGTCCGGGATTGTCAGAAAGAGGGACTGGGGGACCGAACTTTGAGGGCATTTTGGTCATAGTACACACTGGAGTTTATGTGGAAAAATTGCGAATTTATTGAATCTAGAATAGTAGCCGTAATCCAAAAACAAACGAGAATATTATAATTCAATTCGAGACGATAAAAAACATTATACAAAATAAAATCATAATTGCTTAATGATCACGATTACATATTTTACACTTCTTATATACTAAATATTTTGTTGATAAAAAAAAATCCATCGACGTATTTTTAGATTTTCACATATTGGCCATCCTTAAAACTGACTACGACTAGTTTCAAGTGAATAAAATATAAAAATAAGCTTTGTTTATAATTTACATATCGTGTAAAACAAAATAAAGAATAATACCGTTTTAAGTGAAAAAAAATATACAAATCTATTTTTTTAATTTATAAATCGTGTAAAACAAAATAAAGATTTATGATGAACAAAGGGGACAAAATGTGAAAATAATGTGGGGAGGCTTAAAAGAAGTAGTATTATAAGTAGACCTATGCGCCGACGAAACAATCGGCGGCCGGCGCAATTTTCAAAAATCTAATCGACGGTCGGCGGCACGCCGATTTTAGCCGCCGTCAACAAAATCGGGGTAAATCGGCGCAATTATAAATTTTTATAACACATTTTTTTTAAAAAAAAACAAATATACAGATACACATCTGTATATATTTCGGCATATTTTTTAATTTTTTTAATAGAAAACTCATAAATCCAAAATGCTTTCGTAATTTTATAATTATCATGTTTAAAAATTATTTTATTTAAATTTTCGGGACATAATGATGATCTCCTTGAATTTAACGTCAATCCAGCGGTTGAGAAAACTCTTTCATTATGTGTGCTGGTCGCCGGAACGCAAAGAACTTTTTGGCGAGCCTAAAGATTGGGAAGTTCACTCTTCTTTTCTCACCAAAATTTTAGAACGTCCACATCTTGTAAATGTCGTTTTCCAAGAAAACTGTGGCATTCTTGTTCAGTCACCTAACTTGGAATCATAATTTATATTTGTTAAATGTTTATTTGCTAATTTTATCAAATAACTTGAATTTAATAATTCCACTTGATCCACATTAGCTATATTTACTACCTGATTATCATCATTCTCTATATGTTTAAAATGTTTTATTATAAATTCTGAAGCTGAGCAATTTTGCTCTATTAAATACTTTGACACAATTGTCAATTTTTGTAATCTTGGATATAAAAGAGAAGCTAATACCTAGATAATTTTGAATAAAAAATAAAAGAATATACTTATATATTATTACTTGCAGATTACAAACCGGAAATCGTAAGGCAATATTTTTAGCATATTTTCTTTAAGTGAAATTATTTCAGAAATATCAATATCATTTACTATTAAATGTGTTACAATTTCACTTTAAAAAGTAGCGCCAAGTTTAAAGTAGACCCCTTTTGTACTGAAAGAAATTCGACAGTTTCTTTAGATTTTGAAAGAAATGATAATAGTTCTTCTACCAGATCAGATTCATAGTTTGATAATTAGAGAAAGTGCTTCCCAATTCTTTTCAAAACATTATTAATTAAATTCTTATTTAATCCAAATATGCTTTCTAGCATAATTAATATACTATGCCAACGTGTTGGGACATTTAATTTTAAGGTTTTCATATGCGTGGAATTATTGTTATTATTATCATTGGAATTGCCAACTATAAAACGGGTATCCGGGTATGGATCAGTGCTGTCAAGATCTAACATGTCTGATGTTAAATCTTTTTTCAACAAAGGGTACCTTTTTAATACCATCTACTGTAACCAGATTGTGAAAACCATGACCCAAACATAAGTGGGGTTCATATTCACCTAATCAAACACCTTTTCTAACATTAGGCCCAGCATCTGTGACCATTTGTATTTTTTTTTTAAATTAAATTCCTCTTCTATTTTATCAATCTCAGTTAGAATAGTCTCTGTTGTGTGTTTTTGAGTTATATAAAAGTAAATCATTCCAAAATTATCATTTATTAAATGAAGTGTATCTTCTGTATTGATCTGTCCACATATCAAATGTAATCGAACAAAATTTTGGCCCTAAGTTAATTTGTTCTTGTACATGTGCTTTCATTGATAGGTAAACATCATTTAGAGCAGTACGGATTAGTGTTGTCCTGTCTGGCAAATCAGAATTGATAACTTTATATTTCTAATAAGTATTTTGAAATTTATAACAGAAAATCATTATATCTTTATTATATTAGACAACAAATTAGGGAGAATTTATCAAGAAGAAATAAATTTGTTAAAAATTTATTTTGGGTTGCAAAGCTACACAAAACAGAGATGATTGAAACAAATGAATATGCAATTATCCAATATTATTTAAATCATATATGTCTATGTGTAATAATATTGTTAGCATGGCTATAAAATTCAACTATTGTAAATCAGTAGCCAATGTTATTTCAATAGAACAAAAGAGACATAAAGGTAGATCTATTATTAAAATAGATAATATATCTATAAATTTGATACCTTCAAAAATCTTACATTCCTATATTATCAATTGAATGAAAAGGAAATAAGTCATAACATAATAACACATAATTACTTACTAGAAGCCATTTTTTAGAGGTTATGGTTTTAGAATTTGCCTGGAATTTTGGTTTGGATATATATTTTTTTAAATCTTGCGATTATCTGCTTTAATATTATGCTCAGAAGTCAAGTGTTTTAATAAATTTCCTGTGCTAATGTTTATTGAAAAGTTTTGAATTTTATAGCTAGATTATATTTTACAAAAAATATATTTATTTATATCATCATCGTCTCCAATAGCCTTTTCTAAGCAACAATTGCAGTAAAATTTGTGAGAATTTATGTGAATTGTTTTATAACCCTTTTTTAAGTGTAAATAACCAAAAAAATTTCAGACTATGGATTTTTTATTTTCCAGAGTTAGGATACTTTTTATAGAATTATTAAATGTAGATGCATCCATTTTAAAAATATGCAAAATTATGGTAACTTTTATAATTTTAAATTTTTGATTGATTGAATTCTATAATAACGTCGATATAATTATGATTTTAAAATAGTGAAAATAAAAATTCAACAAAATCCTGATTGACATTAAAAAAATTACAACAGGGATGTTGACCAATTATTAGAATAAAAAGATATAAAATATGCGGCGTGATTTTCTAAAACGGCGGCGTTTTTGGCATAACAAAAAAGGTCGGCGGCCAGCAAACGGCCGGCCAGTACACAGGTCTAATTATAAGAGATTTTTTATTGTAATAAACACAACATTCCTCCTCGCTTAAATACTGACACCGCCTCATCGCCAGATCAGAGCGGATTCAAAGCTTAAAATTTTTTTAAATAAAACGGCAAGGGTTAGAAGGGATTTTAGTCTTAAGTTATTTCAATTAAACCAAAAAAAAAATAAACCAGCCTACGCCGCACTGCTGGGTAAGGGTGGATTAACGTCCTCATTAAATTAAAAAGTAAAATATGAACGACCTTCACCGCACTGTCGGGTCAGAGCGGATTTACGTTTTGATTAATTTTAAAATGTAAAATACGAACGGCCTTCAATGCACCACTGGGTTAGTGCAGAGTTTAGTCCTAAGTTATTTTACTTAGACCACAAAACTTCAAACATAAAATGAACGGCATACGCAGCGACACCAGGTTAGAGCGGACTTTTGTCATAAGTCAATTTACATAGACACATAAAACAACTTAAATAAAATAAAGCCAGGTTAGAGCAGATTTAAATCCTAAGTTAGTTTAATTTTTTTAAAAAAATGTACGGAATATAAAAAAAGTCTCTTAGATAACACCACTCTCCCCACTTACATTTTGCTACCCTGGGGTGGGGTCAAGCAATCTGGCGGGTTTCTCCTGCTCTCACTTGGTTCCAGGTTATCTGCTTGGTAAGGTGGTTTCAGATTTATTTATGGTGAATTGTAATATGATGGGGTTGTGTTGTTGTATGCTTGTATATTTGAGAAATTGATTTGGTAATGTTATCGATTCCCACATTTGTAACAGGTGGGATTACTATTAAGTTGAAATTTAGGTGTGGGTGTGGAAAGAATTTTTGTTTGCGGTGGGTGTTGTGTAGTGTTGTTAAACGGCTCGTTTTGAGCCGATTTTTTAAAACGGCTAACTCAAAAAACATTGTCTAAGCCTCGAGATTTTGTCAATATATGTCAAGACCTTTGTTCCTTCTATGAGCAAAATCTTCGGACCTGGATGAAATATTGAGTTAGCCGTTTATAAAAATCGGCTCAAAACAAGCCGTTTAACAACACTAGTGTTGTGTATGTGTATACCGTAAAGATGCATTATTGTGGCTCTGGTAAGTTTTGTTCATAAAATGGTTTTTGTTTAGTGTTTCAGCTATTTCCCACGTTTGAGTTATTTTTAAATTTTTGAAGTTATTGGAAGTAATTACTCGGCCACTTTCAGATGATTAAATTATGGCTCCAAATTGTGACGAGGAAGAGATCTAGGGTCGTGGGTTCGAGCTCCACGGTGGGAGCCAGTGGAATAGTTGGAGCCACGATCGTTGACTATTCAATTATCTGGAAGAGGGTGGGATCGACAGCAGAGATAGGGACTGGGGGACCGGACTTTTCGAGCATTTTGGTCATAGTACAAATTGGAGGTGGAAAAATTGAGAATTTATTGAACCTAGAATTTTAGCTTTAATCCAAAACAACCGAGAATTATGTACAATTAAATTCGGCAAAAAAAACTATATAAAAATAAATTCATAATAGCTTAATGATTGCGACTACATATCTTACTCTTCATATACTAAAAATTTTGTTGACAATAAAAATCCATCGACGTATTTTTATAAAGATTTTATACATATTGGCCATCCTTAAAACTGGCTAGGACCAGTTTCAAGTAAATAAAATATAAAAAAAAGCTTTGTTTATAATTTACAAATAGCATAAAACAAAATAAGGAATAATACAGTTTTAAGTGAAAAAAAATGTAGCAATCTTTGTTTTATAATTTACAACTCCTGTAAAACAAAATAAAGATTTAAGATGGACAAAGAAGACAAAATGTGACAAACAATGTGGAGGCTTTAAAAGAAGTAGTATTATAAGAGATATTTAATAAACACAACAAAAATAAAAGCTAGTAACTCAGGAATGGGATGGAAGAGATACTTCAATGAAAAAAATTTCATTATTAAAAACAACTAACCCTTTCAAAAAGCATTTTTTTAAACCTATATTAGGTGTCGCAAGAGTAGAACCTGGCTGCTCCATTGGTTGAGTTGTCAAGGAATTAGTCCCAATAATAATGATCCTGTGAGGTTGATTATTTGTTTCTAGCGGTAGTGATGAAATGCCAAATTGAGTAAGTGGCAAGGGTTGACTGGGAAGGGAAGAAGGTATAACATGTTCACTGCTCATTCCATCTGATTGAGTTCTCAATGTGGCATCTTGTTTTAAAAAAATAAAATGTAAATTTTTTTAAAAATTTATACTGACCTGCGTCTATATTAGTAGGGGATAGTAAATATACACAAAAAAAATTATGCTCAATGGTGGTATCCATGCTATGCTATGATAAGGGAATAAACTAATAAAATTTGGCAAGCTGCTTAAAAAATAATATAATAAATATGACGGCCATTTAAACTTTAAAATGAATATTAATCGAATAATAAAGGAAAACAGATCATGAAAGATATTCTTTCCTCATTATTTAAAAAATTGAATCACAATGCCATCAATGAGACATTGCTTTTATAAAGCAAATGCATAATTACAATTAGAGATAAAACATAATATTATGAAAGATAAAATACCTTGATTATCGTCCAATAACATAATTTGTCGTTCGATACTATTACTGATAAAATCTGCCATGGATGAGGCTATGTATTCTTCTTCCATTTGAGTCACATTTTCCCGATTAATATCGTTTTCATCTATAAAAAATTTTGAAATGGATTAATCAATTCAAAATAATATATTAAAACAAATAATCTCAATTAATAAATATGCAATGTAATTAGTGATAATCTCTAACTGTTATTTAGTCGTAATTTACTTTCATCGTCTGTAAAAAGGTTATCAACATCTCTTTGCTCAATTACTATTCTGAAGTTGTCCCTGGCACCCATTTCCTCGCCAATATTAACATTCGATGTTGATATGGGACCTGATTGGCTGATAAGCTAAATTAATAAAGTTATTATTTATTAATAATAAATGTAAAAAAATAAATTTTTGGAGGCATTTTTGAATAAACACTAAAGTATTATTAAACATATACAAATTAGTTAACCATGGAAATAACATTAAATTTACCTGCCCAATTGTTGAATTTGAATTGTTATTCAAATTTAACGAAATATTTAGGGGTTGAGAAGTCATATTATTGTTAGCAGATGGCATAACGAAAGGGGGAAGTTGGTATGGCTAAAATTAAAAATTAAAATAAATTACATAATTTCATGATTTTTAATAATGGTGAGCTGTTAAATAAACTCGATTTAAATCTTCATTCATTTAGTAAAAATAGAGAGAGATACAAGATATTTCGTGTAAGAACCATGAAATATTTTACCACTGTAATTTCGACGGGTACAACGGCTTGGTGTAAAACGGCAGCTCTTAAATACCTGGGATCGGATTCGGCAAAATCAACCACAATATCACTCATAGCGTGCTGGGCATGGCTCAGGTAATGCATTATACGAGATACGAGGCTGAATTCCAATTGAATTCGCTGTCTATCTTTCTACAAAAAGAAATAGAGATAAAGAAAAATCTGTTCCTTTCTTATTTCTTTCTAAGTTGACCCATTAGAAAAAAGTAAAAGGTTCCCTTAAAAAATCAAAATTTTGTCAAAAAATGTTAAAAGAAATGTTCTCAAAGCTTAAGGAAAAAAATTTTTTCACTTGATATCCTCTTATTTTAATATGATTCCTTTTAAAGATTCTAACTTAGAAAATATAGTTAAAAAATAATGAAATTACTGAATGTTTAGAGCAAAGATATTGAATTGATTACATATAGCTAAGAAAATATAAATATCACTTATCAAAATTTATGAAAGTGTTGTTCAAATTAATAACACTATATAATAAAATACCTTATAAATTTTGATAAAATGTTCTAAATTTATATATAAGGATGAGTTTTTAATGCCTATTATTACTTCATCCTGATCTTAAAAAGGGAAAAGAAATAACAGAATAATCATTTAAACAAAACAAAATTTTTTAAAAATATAAATGTTTAATTCAGCCATATGGGTCGTTTCATGTCAAATCGAGCAAAAAAACGGGATTTTTGGATGACATTTCTAAAATGAACAAAACTTGGAATGAAAGTTATGCTGTATAAGTAAAATCAAAGTTATAGAGCACTATATCAAATCGCCCAATAATTAAATCCAGTTTTTTAAAAAAATACTTAAGATAGTTACAACTTATATATAATTTTATTACCCTTAAAATTCTATATTGGAACATGTCAAAAAAAACATATTTTTCTTTTTTCTGATAAAAAAAAATTTATAAAATTATTAGGAAACGATTTTTTTGGGTGTTAATATTGGATGGGAATGTCCATTATAATATAAACATTTATTGAATATGGACCAAAATGAAAATAATAAACAACACAAGCAAAAACAAACCCCATAAAAATAATTATATAAATATTAAATATATATGTTTATATAAGATAAGATGGATTTTTAAAAAATGAAGTTCCTTTCATATTCATTTTATTTATTTATCTTAGTTAAAATGAAATTAACTATTCTAGCACCCAGAATTAAGTATAAGTATTAAGAAAATTATAATACCACCCACCCAATTCCAACTAAAATGAGCCATATTTGTTTCACAAACATAATCCACAATATTTAAGTATTTTTCTGGGCTAGAGTGAATCTACTTAAAATATATTTATTATTCAAACTAAACATCAACATTTTATCTAACATAGATCAATAAAATATAAAGGAAAAATATATAGATAACCATGATAGCTATTTTATTAAATATAAATTCTATATTTTTTATTATCATGCATATAATATATAGTAAAAAGTGAAAATACAACTTGATGATAAATCTTGTAAGAACTTAGAAAACAGCAAAAGTTGAAATCTTGTAAGAACTTAGAAAACAGCAAAAGTTTTCTTTTTCCAATATAACAACTATAAACTTATCAAAAACATCTTCATTTCTTGAAACTTTTTTAGACTCTCCTTTTGCTCCAATGACATTCTAATTCATATCATAATCCACATAAAGCACATCTAAAGAAAATCATCTATCTTTATGTTTATTACAAGTATCTTCACCTATTATAAGTTTTGGTTCATGTTCCAATATAACATCTGATTTTTCTCATACTCAAACCACAAATTTAAAAAAATTAGCATTAACAAGAAGAGATATAACCTCTACTACAATTATATAAAATATGCTCAGAGAATCCAAATTCTTCTTTACCTTCTATGATAATACAATTTCACAAAATATTCCAATACCATTTATTTCAAATGATAATAGCATTCCTATTCTATCCCTAACTTTAAAGGAAACTTCATCTTTATCTATATTATATCTTTATCTACATTACAAATACCTACATCTGAATTCTAATCGAATATCTAGCTTAAAGAAAAAGATCTCACGTATTAAATCAAATTTATTATTTAAATTCAAATACAATTCCACAAAAACTTGCCTTTTGACAAAAACATCCAATCCAACCTGTGAATCTGGGATTAAATACATCGCATCTGTATTATAGAGTAGTTATGAAATATAGAGTATCACGAAATTGGCTTTTAGTTGCTATAATTAATCATGGAATTATAGATATTTACTGTTCATTTATATTTGCTAGTTATGAAAATTCATTTTCAAAAGGGTACACCAATTATAAACATATATATTCTGTTGTTGAAATTCATGAAAATTCAATTTTTCATATCTAAGCAGTAGAATACCTTAAGGCATCCAGTGATAACAGCATACAAGATTCAGTTAATAATAAACTTATAACTGGAAAAGAAAAGCAGATTTCAAATGATACTCATATAATAAAACATATATTTGAAATTGTTAAGGTATTAGGGCGTCAAAATATGCCATATAGAGGTTCGGATTGTAATGAAACTTTATCAAATTTTGAAGATATAAATTTAAACATGGAAATTTCCTAAAACTGATACGTCACCTATCTAATTATGATCCAATCATGAATGATCATTTAAATAGTCATTAAAAGAAGCAAACAAAGAAAGGAAAAACTTAAACTCTTAGGGAAATTATATTCCAAAGGAAAAGGTTCCTTAATTACCTTATCATCAAAGACGAGCGTTGGCAAAGTTATTGATGCAATTCTATACAAGCTTAGAAGGCGAATTAAAGAACAATTAGGAAATAAAAGATTCAGCATACAGATAGACAGCACTTAGGATATAAGCATATATGATCAAGCTATAATTTGTTTGCGGTATATTTATAAAGGAGAAATTACAGAAAAACATTTTGCAGTAGTTAAAGTGACTAATTCTTCAGATAAAAGACTTTTTGATTTATAAGTTTTTGTTTCTCTAAATATGCGCTAAAATTAAAAATAATATAATTGGAAAATCTTTTGATGGTGCAGCTACCATGAGAAGTGAATTTGTTGGCTTGCAAGCTCCAAATTAATCAAAAGTGCCAGACAGTATATATATTTGGTGCTATAGCCACATTCTTAACTTATGTGTTTTGACACATATGGTAATCACGATGCGAAAAATCTATTTGGATTACTTGCAACATTTTATAATAAATTTTATAAAAGAATGAGAATTTAAAAAGTCTTCAAAAAGAAACAATGGCGGGCACACGAGAAAGAAATTTTTTGGATGTTTAATGAAAAAGATGCTCTAATATATACTACAATAGGCGCCTTACATTATATATACCAAAAATTTTTTTATGCAAAAACGACTTCAGAAGCCAAGACTTTATTAGAGAGGTTATGCAAATTTAAAACCCTCCTAAGGTCACGAATTTTTTTGAAAATTTTTGAAATAATTGGGCTTCGATCAATATTTACAAATAAAAAACTTAGACATTTTACTGATTCTGTAAATTACCTCTCAATACATATGAAAGCTACAAATATGGGATCATCTATCAATAAAAATTTGGATGATTTGATGATACCTGATGACATATGCATGGAAACTGAAATACAGCAGTGTAGAATTCGTCGTAAAAAGAAGATGTGTTTTGAAGAATGTTCAGATGAACGTCCAAATGACTCTCTTCAAATTTACAAAATTGAAGTGTTTCGCGATATCATTGATCAGATAGTAACTAGTTATACAGAAAGATTTTCGAAAAATCAACATTTAATAACTGTTTCTTCGTTAGCAAAGTTAGATAGATATAAACTGCGAGAGAAAATAATTTATTTCATTAGAATATATAGCAATCTATTCATTGAAGAGTACAGAAATTTTGTGATTACACGTCAGAAAGTGAAGGATTTCAATATTCTATTAAAGAAAATTGCAATGGAGATGATATGTGTATATGAGACGTTATGCCAATATAATATGCATACATCTGATATACTAATTTATATATAGTATATGAATATCTACTCACTTTATCTTTTTCACAAATTGTGAACGAACCTAGTAAAATTAAAAATAATTAAAAATAGACTGCGAACAAATATTGGGCAGGACTTTTTAATGATGTCGGTAGAAAGGAAATTATTAGAAGAAATAAAATTAAGTGAGATTCTTAAACATCTGCCCAAATGTTGACTATTAAGAAAATTGTTAAGCTAACTTTGGTGAAAATTTAACCTTAAACACAATTTCAGCAAAAAATTTTTCTTTCCAAATGTTCAAAACCAATTTAAAAGTAAACGTTTAATAATTTCTTATAGTATTCAAATTATATCGATTAGCAATTGAATATAATACAGTTATTTATTTTAATTCTGTTTTGGGAATTGATTTTTATATTGGACCAAAATACATGTTAAAAATCGAATCGGAAGTAAATTTTAATACAATTATCAATACTATATATTATTTAATTTTAGAAACATAAAAAGAAAAATTATTTTCATTTTATCTCACTCTATGCTCCAATTTTTAAGACCAAACCTTTTGTAGCAGATGCGAGATTTAGTCAAATGATATCGATTTTGAGCTGTACACAACGATATATTATTATTGGATCAAGCTCACTATCAGCAGACCATTGCATTAAACAGTTTACATAATTTACTTCTTTTTTTTTTAATATATTTAATTTTTATATTAATATATTTCGTTTATTATATATAATATACCAGAGCTTTTATTTTATTCTTATAAATACTTTATTTTTTTTGTTAAATAAATATTTTATTAACTTATTTTTTTTCTCAGCCTTCCATATAAATAAAAAAAAACATATATAAAACAATTAAGATTTAGTAAATAATATATTACAAGAAATAATAAGAATATGATATAAAATTAATCCTAATATATAAAAAATATGGGAAGATTATTTTAAATCATTTATTTATTACGGATTGGCTTGCTGCGGCCATTAAATGAATGAAATAATATCATTCAAGTCAAAGGACGAGTAATTCTTTTAAATTGATCATACATAAATATAAGAATTATTTTAAATTATAATATAGTGTACTAGATTTCAAATACCAAATATCGGGCCTCTTTTAGAAATCTCCCAAGGGCTTTTAGCCTCCCAGTCGGCCCCTGAACATCAAGGTAATAAACATTTCTACACCCCTAAAAAATCCCATCTCAACAATGTTAATTATTTTATTTTTACCGGAAATAAGAAAACATTTAGTTTTTGATATTTTTCAATAAATGATATATAATTTAAAACTTTATCTTAAGTATTTTAAAAAAAACAAGATTCAATGAAATCACGCATTGCGCGAATTTCGACTTTAAAGGCGTATATCTTTAGATCTGGTTGAGCTGTATAAATAACTAACTGCCAAGTTTCATTCTTGAAATGGTCGTCGGAAACATTTGTTGATTTGTAATGGAATGGCTTACATATCAATTTTTTTAAATGTAAAAAAGAAACAAAAAGAGGATTTAGGCATTTTCATAAATAGACCAGAAGAAACATTATTTATGATTGAAAAAGTTTGCATTTAATGTAATGTTGGATAATGCTAGAAAAGTGAATATTAAAATTCCGAATATAGATTCGTTAACTAAAAATAATTTAGAAAATTTTCGTTAAATATAAATCATCCATTCCAAATATATTTTTTATTACATTAGTTACAATTTATAATTGTATCAGAGATTTGCAGATGTATCTCTTTTCATGTCAACCCTGGGTTTTTTAAATTTGGTCATTTGAAATAATTTTGGCATAAATGATTTAAAGGGAATTCCAAAATAAGAGAGGATAATGAATATTTAAATGATCCATCATATGATTTTTCAACCAGTTGATAGAATTTATATTTAATTTGGAACCCAGTCAGTGAACAAAATTGATGCCTGCAGATCCATGCAATAATTGCCACTCGTAAAATAAAAACTAGAAAGTGGAAAATATATTAGTTTAGGTAAAGTGTATGGTATTATGTCTGTGTAAACGTGTTCATTATTTTTAGTCCATAGCTCTGTGAATAAATATTTTTGAGACAAAAAAACTTAATATTAAAAAATTGTATACCAAATCTGGGATATTATCTGTTCTTCTTAAACTTTGAGATGTGGACATTAGATGAGGCAAAAAAGCGGTCAAGATACTGCTGTATTCATGTATAATATCAGCCATCGCATCGGTTTTAGGACGGCTATAGTAAACCAGAATTACAATAAATACAAATGCTTAAAAAATTACTTTTCAAAGGTCCTAGAAAGTATATCAGAATTCGTTTCAGTGATAGTATGATTAATGGTAGAATTTGCAGCATAATCATGATCCTCAGGGTTTTCGTTCAAATTTGTATTTGTTGGATGGGAAGTAGAGGGTGTCTGGGTTTGAATAATATCCGCGCTACTTGACTCAGAATTATTCAATTTTTCGATATCTTTTTTAGCTTCCTTAAGCATATTTTGGGCGATTTCTAATCTAGACTTAGAAAAACTAAGAGTGTGAGGTGGTGGATTTAATAATTGATCCGAATTGCTGATTGGTGAACTAATGGAGGAACCAGGATTAAAATTCTAAAAAATATTTTTGGTAAAATATAAATCAAATATAAAACTTGTATTATCGGCATCGCTTGATTATTAGAAGGTGGCATATATTGATTTGTTAAATTGTGGGCGAATTGATGAAGTGCGTTCTATTTTTTTATATTTATAAAATATATATTATATAGAAAATAAATTGTCTTAGTTTCTTACAGGCCTGTTCGGGTGGATATCTACTAGAAAATAATTCTAACCCAAGCTTTAACCAATATTTAATTTAAACAACATAAAACAATTTAATGTTTAGACGTTGAAAATAAGTTTTTTTTACCACACATAATATTTTTTTAATATTTGATTGTTTTAACTATTTTAAGGACAACAATGTTAGCCATGATACTGATAATAAAGGTTGGTACAGCCCAGACCGAAACCTGGGACATGAGCTGAGCCGAGAAAATGTTCAAAATAAAAAACGCGAGAATTACTTAAAAACCCATCCGATACCGATCAGATATTTAAATTGATTTTTTATTTACCATCTATCTTTGTATCAATGTCATAAATATATTAATATTTTCTACTTAAAACCAATAACTTTCAGAATGATTAGTGTATTTTTTTTTCCATAGGTTAATTTCTCATTTATATATTGTTTATGAGGGAATGTAGTGTTTTTAAACAGCTATATCTAGTCGATTTTTAAAAAGGGCCAAATCAAAATTTTAACCAATATATTATTGCATATCCCTCGAAATTTCGTCAATAGAAGTCCGATATCTGTGGGAAAAATCAATAAGCATGGGTAATTTACTCTTTAGTAAAATTTTGAGTTAATATTAATAGCTTTTAAAATTGGTTAAATCGAGTCGTTTAGCAAAACTAACTGAATGTAACTCGTTAGAAGTCACAAAATCCTATAACAAAAAAACAACAAATAATTTTAGTTTCTATTATTAATTTATTATTTATAAAATAAAAAATATTATATGATTATATACACAATTATAAAATAACCAAAAACATTAATAAATATCGGATCAGATAGGTTTTCTAAAAAAGATCGGCCCGATCCAATCCATATTAAATATCGACCCAGCCCTATTCAAATATAATAACGAGGCCCCAATTTTCCTAAATGTTAGAACCCAGAACCAAATCCAATTTTTAAATATTAAAAACTGGAACGCTTCTTAGTTTAGGTTACAATGTATGATTGTAATTTAAAAGGTATATAAATATTACATAAATTATTTCTATTCATGAATCCCATTTAAAAAAGACAAACTCCTAATATTATTAGTGCATGAGAATAAGAAAACAGAAAGAATATGATGAATATTATTTCTAAGTAACAGCAATCGCTACAGCTTGAGCCACTTCTTCTGAAACCATCAAAATATTAAAATTACATGTATTTTTAATCATTCCAGATTGATACAGAGTTATGTAATATTTATATTTGAAACAGGAGTTACTCAAATATTTTATTATTTTTAAATTTATCAATTTAAAAAAAAGATAAGATTTTATATTTTTAAGGATATATAATTATTAATTTTGATGATTAAAATATATTTAATAAGACGAAGGTGCAATCAATGCAATGTTATCCTTTATTTAATCATTTTTAAAATTGCTATGCCTCTTGATATGGCTGGGGGAAGTGGTATCCATATGCTGCCACTTATTTTTTTTAAATATTTTAGAAACATTTAAATTATATTCTATTTATATAGAAAAATATATAATTAGAAGAAGAGAAATTAAAAAAAAATATTTAGGTTTGGTCGGCATGGCTTAATGACCCATGTAAGATATACAGTTTGGTTCGACAAATTTCTATTGATATTCTTTGTCATAGGTAAAAGGCTTCTTTTGAATCACCTGTGATTAAACATAACCTTTGACCTATTATTTTGAATAATTTTAGGGCTTGGAGTCCAAATGATCCACAGGTGTCTCAGATTACCTGAACAAACAAAATATTATTAAGTTGTCTATCTAAATTTGTCCTTGTATTTTCAATTTTCTTGATGAAGTTGAGAGAATAAGATCTGGCAAAACTACACATGTATAATCCAAAGGGTGGGGTATACCTTGGTTCCAAGGGACTATCATCATTCCATCAGGTCTGGTTTGATTATCAGGGATGAGGCCAGAGGGTTCCAGGGCTGAAAGAATGTTTGTGGATTTCAAGATTCTATTGATGATAGAAATGATGGCATAGTGCCTGGGTAATATGCCTTTTAAAAAACGACAGTTAGGGGGTGGTGTCCAAGGCTATCAAAAAGTTTCGTTTAATCATAGGTGATCAAAAAGAAGGCTTCTACCTACGACAAAGAATATCAAATGAAATTTGTCGTATCTTTAAATGGGTCATTAAGCCTTTCCAAAACCTAAATATTTTTTTTAAATTTCTCTTCTCTTCTTTTAATTATATATTTTTATATAGAATATAGATATAATATGTTAATTATAATTTTATAATAATATTTTAATAAAAAAAAACTTAGAATTTTATATATAATTTATTATAATGTAACTTCATAAAATCAAAATAATAATATGATATAGAAATAATTTCTTTATATAGATAAAAATAAAACTTTTTAATATAATAAAAAAAAATTATTGACATTTCTGTGCCTCAAAAGGCTTTCTCAATAAATTCTAATAAAATGAAAAATAGTAATTAAAACATACTAATGGGTGATTCCACGTCAAATCGACCAAAAAACGAAATTTTCGGCCGACCATTTCAAAAATGAATGACACTTTGCATGTTAGTTATTTATGTTGTAAATGTTAAGAAAATCAAAATTTTAGAGTGCTAGCTCAACCAGATCCAAAGATATACGCCTTCAAAGTCGAAAATCGCGAAGTGCGTGATTTCTTTAAATCATGTTTTTAAAAAAAAATACTTAAGATAGATTTACAAATTATATACCCTTAAAATATTACGTTGGAAAATATAAAAAAAAAATTAAAAAATTTCAAGTGTTTTCTTATTTCCGGTAAAAATAAAAAATTTTAAAAATGTTTATTACCTTTATATTAAACGATTTAATAAAAAATCTAGATAGCCATTTTTGTTTTTTAATTTTATTAATATTTTTATTATTTTTATATATAAAAAAATGTAATTAGAAGGCGGTATATTAAAATATTTTTATAATATATAATTTTTAATAAAAATATGAATAGTGATGTGATTAAAATTAAAAAATCAATTGAGTATAACCTAGAATGATGTCCTGAGGCGATATATAAGCAGGCAGCTTATACAGATATTATTTTATTTGGACGCTCTATTCTAAAATAAAAATATTTTAAAATTTTATACACTAACAATTATTAAAATAAAATTTCTTGTTTTAATCTTATCCCATTTTGTTTTTATTAATAGAATTTTTTGAGACGATAATTTGATTAATGGGTAACCATATCTTTTCCTCAACTGTGGGGTAAAATAAGGATGGTGATGGTCCATGGGGATGTAAAAAGGATATATATATCTCCTCTGTAATTTCATTCTTTTTTAGTACTGTGGCTAACCACCAAAAATCGTCATAAACACATGTTACGAATCCTTTAATATCGGCAAAAAACAAATTATCGGTAAAAGGCAAATTATCAACATTTGAGATAATCTTAATTTGAAAGTCCTCTGCACATGAATATATTTTTGATTTAAGCTTACTTAAACTCAAAGGAAATACAGCATGTATTTCACGAGTTCCTAGAATGGGAAGAGCTAAACTGAATCTTTCTCGAAGTTTAATCGCTTGCAAATTGTATTGTTCTTTTGTTATATACGTAAAATTTGCTGATGGCATGTTTTGTTTTGCAAATTGATACAAATCAATTGGGGTTAAAATGTGGCCAGAACTGATGCGCTGAAGGCTTGAACGTGCTGCTAATCTTTTTAATGTTCCGCCAAGGCCGTCACATGGACCTTTTCCATGGGATGTAGCTGAAAAATGCCATTCAGCTGCTACACCAAAATCTAATTCATGATAACACATTTTTATAAAAAAATTTCTGTTTTTATATTCCGATCCGTCACAGCACTAATATATTTTGTTTGGCTTTCTGTTGAATTGATTGGTCAAAAACTTTATCATTTTATTCTGGTATAAATGTACTGCAATAACATCATGTTAAAGTGACTCTAATCTAAATAAACTTACCTTTTGTAGATTTTTTGAAATAGATTTGTGGCCCTCTCTAAAAAATGGATTGGTACAAAGCAACTTCATTATTACAATTTTTAATGCTAAATTTAAAAAAAAATAATATTATTTTAAACCTTATGTTCTTATCAATCATTGATTGATAATTAAATTTTCTATTTATCGATTAAAAAATGTAATAGAAAGAAAGGAATAAAAAAATAAAATAAACTGATAAAATCTTTGATTTCAAATAATAACGATAGTAGATCCACAAAAATGAAAGGATATATCTACAAATTATGGCTTTATGAATTTCTATTAATAAGCGCAAAATTATAATAGTTTGAATATAAAATTTTAAAATATGTTTATTTTACAATATAGCGTCCAAATAAAATAATATCTGTATAAGCTGCCTGCTTACATATCGCCCCAGGACATCATTCTAGGTTATACTCAATTGGTTTTTTAATTTTAATCACAATACTATTCATATTTTTATTAAAAATATGATATTATAAAAATATTTTAATATAACGCCATATATATTACATTTAATTATTTATAAGAATTCAAATAAAATTAAAAAAACAAAAATGGCTATCGAGATTTTTTATTAAATCGTTTAATATAAAGGTAATAAACATTTTTAGTGAATATTAACACCCAAAAAAAATCGCTTCCTGGCAATGTTAATTTTTTATTTTTACCGGAAATAAGAACACACTTGAAATTTTTTAATTTTCCAACGTAAAATTTTAAGATAATTTGTAACTATATCTTAAGTATTTTTTAAAAAACACGATTTAAAGAAATCACGCAAAATCCTGCACTTCGCGATTTTGGACTTTGAAGGCATAAATTTTAATTTTCTTAACATTTACAACATAAATCACTAACATGCAAAGTTTCATTCATTTTTGAGATGGTTGGCCGAATCATTGGTCGATTTGTCATGGAATTACCCTATTGCAAACTTTTATATTGAGAAATAAAAATATGAAGAATGTAAAAGGTATCTAAAAATTTTTGCCCAAATTTCAATTACTTTGCATCATTCCTATTAAAAATTTCCCTCATTACTTGATTTAACTAATAAATTATCTTTTGGTAGACTAAAACCTTCATATTTACAAAATCATTCATGTGTTCTCCTGACACTAATATAATACCTTTAACATTGCTATATGTTCTTTGATTCTTTTTTTTGACTATAATTCCCATTTGTTCAATGTGAACCTTTTTATAACTCTTACATGATATTTGACGAATACCTGGTGTTTATAAATTGTATATAGTCTTTTTATTAATGGTATTAGGGCTGTAATTTATATTCATCATACTTTAATATTTTTTAAATAAATATTTTTATTGCAGAGGTTAGTGTTGTTAAATGTCTCATTTTGAGCCGAATTTTAAAAACGGCTAACTCAATATTTTATCCAGAATACTATTACGCAAGCCTAAATATTTTGTTTGCAGAAGAAACAAAGGTTTGAACATCTATTAGCGAAATCTCGAGGCTTAGGCAATATTTTTCTGGCTAAAATATTGAGTCAGCCGTTTTTAAAAATCGGCTCAAAACGAGCCGTTTAACAACACTAGCAGAGGTTATTAATTAATTACAAATTATTATGTATTATATTTATCAGAGACCTGCAGAGGTACCATTTGTATAGCCTGGCCCAGATTATTTTTTAAAAATTTGAGTTTTTTTCAATAAAATTTTTCAGGCCCGGCCCGGGTTTTTTTAAAATATATTTTCAGGTCTGGCCCAGATTTTTTAAAAAATATATTTTATTTATTTTTGATTTTTAAAGCTAATGGCGATTTCAAATATTTGGTTATAAAATATATGGCCCAGCCCAAATATTTTTTTAAAAAAAATTTCACTCTGCCCAGGTAAATTTAAATAAAATCCGGGCCTGAAGATCTCTGATATTTGTAATGATCTTGGATTATTAGTTACTGCAGATTTAATTCTAAACATTTCTATATTTTTAAATTGATTGTAAATAAAATTATTTAACTTGTAAAAATTTGATAAAATAAAATATATTTATTTTCAAATAAATTAAAAAATATAGGAAATGTTTTCCATCAAATCTGGTCAACAGTTTAATATATTCATGCCATGTATTAGCAATTTTTAAAAAAGACAAAACTATTGGGAATATAAATTATCACCTTAACAATAAACAGAGTATTTATGAAATCATGTAAAGAGGTCTACTCAATGACATATATAATACCTAGACTGACAATTCATTCATTAAAATGCATTTTTAAGTGTCGTTAAAAGCAAATCAGCTGGATCCGCCATTTTGGTAACCCTTATGATAATTATTCTCATGTTAAAAACTACAATTAGATCGGAAACTTGCTTCTTTAATTATCTCGATGATCAGGAAATTCTTTAATAAATTTTGCATCAGATATAGGAATAAATTAGGCTATCGTTTAAAATTTTAATAATGATTAGTGTAACCAAGATGGCGTCCCCTACACTTTTAATGAATGAATCGTCAGTCTAGGTTTATCATATGTAATTGGGTCTAATAGATAAACAAAAAGAATGATAGAAATCAAATAAAAGGAGGAGCATATTGATTTTGTAAATGTAAAAGTTTTAGCCACTACAAAAAATATTATATAAATTAGTTATCTTTAATTTTATTAGATTTGATTGACAAAGTTAACAAATTTATAGTTATAATATGTAAAATGTATATTAAAAATATAAATTTAAGAATTTTTGTATTTTATATAAAAAAGCAATCATTAATTTGATTAAATGTAATTTAAGCCCTTTTAATGATAAAAGAGTAACTTCGAAATGGGACATGTCAAAATTTCCATCAGTAAAAGGGATATCAACTGTGCCTAAAAATACTCTTGGTTGAGATGTTGATGGATCTTCATTAATTGTAGGAGATGAGTGAGACTCAGTGCTACTATAAATATTTGATGGAGGGGGCCTCTCAACCATATGAATAACTTGTTCATGAACACCTAAAATGATGTATAATTAATGCACTAATAGAAAAATAAATATACCATAACTTTGCAAAATCTTATTATCTTGCAATACCTTTCCTTTAAATATCAATCTTTGCTTATCAACAGAAAGAGACTAAAAATATATATATTAAACAGTTTAAATATATTTATTTTACTATTCTGGCAGTAATTTTTTCCTTGAACTCTGACACTGTAATCTATATTTTTTTTAAATTTAATATTGTAAATATAACTAATATTTACATTATCATCTAGATCAAATTCATAATTTTCGGACTCTAATGTTCTGATAGTTACGTGGATCATTGATAGTTCGAGAAAAGTGTAAAAATTTTAGTGAAGAATATGAATGAATGAATTAGAATCTACCTATATGGTAACAAAAAGGGAATTAATACAACATGGTAATTATCTATTCTGGCGTTGAAGGGTAAAGTAATAGGACAAAATGTATAAGTATAGACCTAAGCTACCAATTTTTTTTAAAATATTTGAGTTACGAAATTAAACGCATTACTATAATGTTAAAGATTCAGTAGAGCTATTAAGTATCCTTATTCTTAACTAACTCGATAAGTTAAGTTGGATTAAAATTTAAAATGAGAAGGCCTCAACACGTTTGTTGGCAAGCGGCACATACTTTTATGTTAACAATTCAAGGAACTGTCATTTAAACATATAGGTCAAGGAACTGTCATTTAAACATATAGGCGAAGATAAAAAGTATTGGGGAAAGAGAAAGCATGGAAGACAAGGATTTAACTTTGAATATATAAGCTAAATAAGTAATTCTCCTGGTGTTGATGTTAAAATTAAAAGCTTGTCGTGTTGACCATGGAATACATATTTAATTAAATAAATATTTAATAAAAGTTGTAGAAATTATAATTTAATGATAGTATGATAGCAAAGACTTAAAATAAAAAAGGCTTTTTACCGAATACAGTTAGCATCAAAAAATATTCAAAATTTTATAATTCTAGTTGATTGCAATTCTTTAAAAGCCATAAAATAATGACGCAGATTTTGTTTCACAAGAGTTGTTAGTTCAATCCTACGAGTTTTTGAAATATTTAAAAAAAACGATGATCAATGCTACAATTAAAACAAACTACTCTGCAAATGAATTAACCCAACGTTTTCCTTCTGATCTTTGCATAAAAGATTTAAAAGTATAATTAATTTACAGATTTTACTATTTTATTTTTAGTTAAAGTTGATTCTCATAACTGGTGCCACACTTGAGCACATGCATATTCAGATATTTGATAGTTCTGGTAAAATTTTAAAAGATAGCCCAGAAGAATTCACCTGTCTAAAAGATTATTGTGGTTTAGATAGAAATATTACCCTTAATGTAAGTTATTTTACCAAAATAAATTTATACAAATTCTTTAGAACAAATAATCTTTTAATCTATTTATATAAGTTTCATTTATATTAACCTCTCAGAGTTAATGGGGAAAAACATTATTAATGACTGAAGATGGGATCAATTTTTTGCCAATTTAAGTGATATCAGAAAATATTATTAAAATGAGGTCCAAAATTCACAATTATATTAACATTACTGTTATTAATTTTCTAAATTTTATTTATTAGTAAAAAAAAAGGTTAATTTATTCTAGACAAAAAATTATCTTTCCTTATTCATTGTTTTGAAACCATAATTTGAAAAAAAATGTTAATTTAACTACAATTTTCATTATAATATATTAACCTGTATATAAAATATTAAATACAAATACTTTTAAGTTCAATAATGCTTCTAATAATATATAGTTGGAAGTATATTGTTCAACACAAAGTTATAGGGGTCAGTCATTCCACAACAAATCAAGCATAATTTAGTCAACCCCCTTCAATTTTTTTAAAATTGGGTAAACAATGAAAGATTAATATAATCTAATAACCCCAATATTTAGCTTTCTAACATTTATATTTTTGGAGATATTAGGGTTCAAAATGGCAAAAATGTTGTATTGTACCATTATTTGCCTTCATTTAACTAAACATATGATAAAAACTACATAATTGTAAATAAAATAACAAATTTAATATGTACAAAGATTTTACTTTTAGATTAAAAAAAATTTCTACTTTTTGGCCATTTTATTTATTAGAATGATTGAAGATATATAGTTTGTTTTAAGAATGAAGTCTATTTCTGTTATATGTAGAATATTATCTTAAAGTTTTTAAATTTTTAAAATTGTGTTTTATTATGCTTATAAGGGTATTCAATAAATGATATTGACAACCACAACCTTGTAATATAACTTTCTAAAGCTAAAGCTTAAAATATAATCTTATTCTTATCTTTATAGTTTAATCTTGAAAAATTTAGCTATGTGAGAAACATTTAAGCATTCAATCTCCTAAACTCTTGACTTGAAATGAAAGAGATATAATAGTCAATTTATCAACTATCTAGATATATTGAGGAACATTTTAAATTTAAGAGTAATGTTTCTTATACAAGAAGGTTATATTTATTCATAAATTATGTCTTATAAGATTAATATACTATATAAACATGAAAAAATTTTAATTGGTGGGGTTTGACCTAGAAGTCTGCAAAGGTGGGTCTTTAGCCTGCAAGTCCACCTGTCCATTTATTTAAGAAAATTTAACCAACTAGTGTAAAATTTTTAACTGCCTAACCATTCATTCTTTCAATTTTTTTAAGCATCTAATAAATGATTTTGTTTTAGTGCTACATCCCTGTAAAAAAGTTTTATAATTTAGAAAATTATTATATTTAGCATTAAAAAAATATTCAATTTAATTTACGGATAAAGAATTTATTTGATCTAATAAAATATTTATGTAATAATACAATATTAATATTTATCGATACTAAAAACCTTATAGCAAGGCTAAATCCTCATCAGAAAGCAGTGGTTGCTGGAATTGCCAATATTTTTCTAACTAATCTTGATAGCTTTGATAAATCTCTTTCTTGTCATTTCCATCAAAGTAGGATATCCTTTTGAAGTATAGTCTACTCAAGTGAGATATTTAAATAAAAAGTGAAACCATTAATAATAAATAAAAAAAAGTTTAAATTTATTGTTTATAAATTGTAATCTAAAGTAAGTAGCCAAACATCTTTGCCATTTTATACATTAACTTTTTAAGGTTTTAATATTTTGTTATGCCATTAAGTAATGATCCTTTGTAACAGCCACATCTTTCCATCTGTTGTTTAATTTTGTCATGGTTGCTATCTATTTCAAACATTGCATTTATAATTTAATAATCTTTAATTGAATTCTTTTTGCCTTTGGGAAAAAGGTAAAATCATATTTTCATCCACATTGATGTTATATTTTTCATGCAAATCAAATCCAATATGTTTTTCATATATTTTTTACCTAATTAATTTCTTCCACTATAACATCCTTATCAGTACTTTGGTATTAAAAATGTTGAAATTTCAAGGAACATATTTTTTTATATGTACTTAAATGATTTTATGTAACAAATAAAAGTTGTAATTTTTTAAGCTGCCCACCCAAAGTTTACTACCCAATGCAGACCTTTAGTTTGACTCAACAAAAGTTGCTATGCCACTGAATTAAAGCAATTTAATAATAATATTATTATATTAATATAGAATATTTTATATAATTTAAAAAAGGTTATTGACAAAAGTATAAATACTGGAGCCTTTGATGATATTTCTAAGGTCCAAAAATATGAAATATCAAATGATGCATATGCTAACAGAATAGGTATTATACATAAAAAAATTTTATAATTTAGTATATAATATAATTTTATTAAACTTGAAAATTATCATTGGGAATTAGTTTCAAATCAACAAAATAAGGATAAATCAAAATTTAACTTTTTTTATATCAATTGCTTAATTGAAATTAAATATTTAATAATTTTACAGCAGTGCAACAAAACTTAAATTGAAAAACGCAAATTAATATTTTGAAATAAATCAATTAATAAATAGTTAATGATATTTTTGCTAAATCTATGTTAATACTATTTTCAAACCATATATTTAGCTTTTTTTTTTACTTCCAACTAGTCCAAACACCAAAATGGAAAAAGGTGATGTCCTTCAGAATTTAATTCTCTAAAAATCACTTTCCCTCTTGAAGTTTATATTTAATTGATGCCTATCGCGCTTTAATTTACAAATTTTTTGTATGACGAGTCAAATATATATGTTATAGATGATGAAAAATAATATATAAATAATTATTAAAATAAATTTAAGATATTTTTTATCTAAAATATTTAGCCATTTAATAACCTTAATAAAAATATAATTTTAATTTTATTAAAAAATAAATTATAATAATTAAATTTTATTAATATTAGTTTAACACATGAATAAGTTTTAACCTAAAGTCTTACCTAAAATAAAAATTATAAATATATACTTTGCTACCATATAAAATAAGAGTACATATAAATCACCTCTTATAGGTTCCTTTTTTTATTCATACATCAAAAAATAAAGGAAACTGATCGAGGCTGTGCAAAGAGTTTTGGCGGGACAAGTCAATGTTGCCCCAATTTACATAAGCTTTAAAAAAATTTATAAAAAAGAACTTATTTCAGTGACGAAGCGTCAAGTTTACTACTAGGGAAGCAATCAAAAAAAATTTTTTATTTTTATTTAGTCAAACTCAAACCATTAAAATATTAAGATATATAAATAAGTGGTATGCGTCTTTGTTTTTGAGTAAAAGTTATCGCTAGATTTTTAATATTTTAATAATATTTTTTCAATCGAAATCATTGGCTCATCCTGTTTCTGCAATAAGATTTGATTATTTTTAAAGATAAAAAACTCCGTTCTGTACTTGCTGTTGTTGAAGCCAAAGTTAAGATGAATTTGCATAATTTAAAAAAACTCTTTAAAACTTTTCATCAAATCGGTGCATATTAAAAATTCAAATATTTCATTAACATTCTTTTTCTTTCTAAATTCAACATCCCGAAACATTATCTTTAATTCGGTTTTCAGCTTGTGTAAGTCGAAAAATTGAGAATAAGTGTCGTTTAAATTATCTAATAAACATTTTAGGAAATTTTGATTATTTGGAATTTACTAATATCTAACAATTCGACGAATTTAATATTTTTTGGTGTACGACATATGAAATAGAATTAATCAAATCATTTTGAATATTGCTTGATAGTCCAATAAAAACTGCACTATTTATAAATGATGTTTCAATAGTAAATTTTCTTCCGCGAGCAAATAAATAAATTCAAATTAGAAGATTCATCATCACGGAATACGAGCTCCTGAATTCCAAGAAAACATATAAACTTGATCAGTATTTTCAATATTTCTCTATTTGATTTGACTTATTATGCTGTTGGATTGATATTTTGCGCATCGAATCTATCAAATTTTCAATACGATTTTGGCCAAATGTTTTTTATTGAATCATCGACTGCAAATGAGCGGTTTATTCTTTGCCGTTTAACTGTCTTTGAAAAATTATTCATATCCGAAAATCCTTAATCATTCCAAACATATTTTTCTTTTGGGAATAATAGATATGACCAACAATATAGAGAATTAGAAAATTAACATCCAGTGAGCCATACATATTTTTCATATTTATCGCTAGAAAAATTACGAATGCAAGTTTTGATTTCTTTTTTTATTTGTAAAATTGGTTTTGGTCTTCCTTTTTCAATAATCAATATATTCGCATCAAAATTTCTTGAGCTAAATGATAATGTTAATAAATTTTCAATAATACAATTACAATTATTAAACATTAATTAAGATTTTGAAAACGAAAAATTTTTTATTTTAAAAAAGTATGGAAAAATATTATATAAAAAAATTTCTTTTATTTATTAAAAAAATAAGCATTTTTTTATTTGCTACCCCATTATTTATTTTTTATGATCAAATTACACAATACCATGGCATGATTTTCTCTTTCTTTATTAAAACAAATAAGCAATATTAAATTTGCTTCCCTCAATTTATATTTTTTTAACGTAGTAAAAATAATAGTAAATTTTTTAACGTAGTAAAAATAATAGTAAATTTTTTAACGTAGTAAAAATAATAGTTTAGTAACTTTTTTAACGTAGTAAAGATAATAGTATTTCTTAATATAGTAAAAATAATATTAATTTTTTAACTTTATAAAAATTATAATAATCTTTTTAACGTTATAAAAATTATATTAATCTTTTTAACGTTATAAAAATTATATTATTCTTTTTAACGTTATAAAAATTATATTAATCTTTTTAACGTTATAAAAAATATATTAATATTTTTAACGTTATAAAAATTATATTAATCTTTTTAACGTTATAAAAATTATATTAATTTTTTTAACGAAGTCAGTTTAGTTTATTTAGCATATTACAAAGATTATATTAAGTTTATTTAAAAATTTTATAAGAAAAATTTCAAGGGAAGTAATGCTTCCCTTGCTTCTATGGACCCTTTGTCACTGACTTATTTGATTTCAAAATGGGAAAATAGATAAGATATGAATAAAATAGGTAATATGTTGTTCTGTGAACGTTTTTAAAAAAAGTGATATTTTCGTTCGTCGTTCATTTATAAAAATTAAATATGTTTACATTCAACATTCATCTATAAAAAAAGGAACTCAGTGAATTTCATAACCACCTTTATTCAGATCAAAAAATACTATATTTTTAAAAATGAATTTAATATAAATAAATTACAGATGAAATTACACCATTTTAGCCCATTTTTTTGGAAACCTTATCCAATGCAATTCGAGCTAAATATAGAATCATCTAATTCTATGTTTTCCTACCCATTTTTTTAAATATGGTGAAAACTTTATCCAAGCCAATTTGAGTTTAATATGAATATGTATATACTTATAAATTATAAAATATTTCAAATTATAGTAGAAGTAGACACTAATCAAAATGAAAGGGTGCTGGAAAATATCTGAGATTTTTTAAATTTTTTTAATAATAAGTTTGCTTAACATAAACCTGGTTAATCTCTTAGCCAATGAACAACTAAGAGTTACTTTAGGATATTGACTCGGATGCGACCTATTCAGCCTCATCATTGCATGAACTGCAGCCTCTTAGTAAATGATAAGGGAAGGCATAGCCTCAATTGCATCAAATGTCAGTCGACATCAACGACACTCTTCAATAAATAAATTTTTTAGGCCTCCTTTTAAAAAAGGCTCGATACCTAATATCCTAGAACCTTGCAATTTCTCAAAATATGACCGTCTGACCCTATTTTCAAAGCTATAAGCCATTCCCTTATTTGGGATATACACGTGTTTCAGTCTTACCCACCAATATGAGACTAAAATAAATAAACAATTACAAAAGTCTAAGCAATTTTATATTATGACCAATTGCAACGTCTACCAATGGACAGTTCACTCTTATCACTTTAAAAAAATTTGGCTCACAAAATTAAATTGCAAACTTTTGAACCTAGGAACTCCTATTCTTTAGGCAGGACATACAAATAAACATTTTTACATTCCTCTATAGTTCCTTTTAGGAACCCAATTATGCTTTTTTTTAAAAAAATTTTAAAGTCAAAAGATTTTTTTCACATTTTTATAGTTCTTATATATAATCGTTTTAAAAGAAATTTTTTTTTAAATTGAATAAAAAGAAAAGCGCAAGGAAAGTAAAAATACATCCAAGTTCAATCGTCCAAAATAAAAGATGCCTTTCTTTTTTCAAATAAACTAATTTTATTCATAAATCTGTTTAATTTCAATCTTTATTTATTTACAACACTATTTTTACAATGTATTAAAGTTAGATATAAATAATTTATAATAAATGACAAGCGTAATATTAATCTGGAGGCCTAAGGCGGGGCTGCCTTGCCCTCTCTCCCGTTCACACAGGTCTAGATCGAATTAATCCACCATCAAAAATGATAAATACAAAATATAAAATAAAGTTATTATGAAAGCCAGAGATATTTTTAATAAAAATATTAAACGGATAAGATTTTATATAACAGGTTGCGTAATAAGGAAAATCTATGATTAAAGGTTTTAATAAGATTGAAGGAAAATTAATCCAATTAAAAAAATACCTAAGAATAGACCTATAAAAAATTATTATATTTGATTCAAATATAATGCTGTCATTTTATAATATGCGTGTATAAGGAGAACCTTTGCCTCCGGGCGGATGGACACGTATTCAAATCTCAAATAACCATTTTGAACTTGAATTGTTCGGACCGGATCGGCCAGACGGCTAGATTGAAAATTTAACATTACGTAATATAGTGTCTCCCTACATTTTTTAACATTAGGATGATAGTTGATATTTGTATTAACATTAAGAAGATAGGAAAATGAGATTACGGAGATTATATATTAGATTATTTGAATATAAAAAAAACCTTTATTTTAATTTGTAACTTACTGTTGAATTTAATTTTATTTTTACAATGAAGTTGTCAATTTAATATTCTAAATATATTTTTATTATTTGTATATGTTAACGTCAATGTTTTTTTCCGGCAATGTATTATTTTTTTCAACCTTAAATCGATTTTTGAGCGCGTTTTTTTAAATTTAGATTTTACCGGAAATATATTCCAGCATATTTAGAATACCTATCTTGTGAATTGTAGATAATTTTACCGATAACTTTTGAGTTATTTGTTATTTATATGAAAAATCAATGGAAAAACTAGTGCTGTGAAGTAACGTCAAAAAAGTAATTTCCTTACTAACGACGTTACTTTTTT